ATGCGAATTTCCACAAATAAAGAAATATTGATCAGATGTGGTTGTGCGACCGCACTTGAGTTAAACAAACCACAGCCACCTGTGATACGGGACCGATGGTAATAGGGGGTTTTACAAGTGGGGAACGCACAGGCGACGACGTCAAGTAATTGTATGCAAAAAAGCTATTGGGAATGCGCGGTTGTATTTGAGTGATTGAGATATAGTTGCCATAACCTCTAAACACAGCCCTAACGCTTAACCCGAGTCCCTAACCCAAACCCCTTAACCCTAGCCCTTAGCCGCAGCCCTAAACACGAACCCCGAAACACCCAACGCAAAAGTTAGGAGACGACAGGCCGAAAGTCAAGAAGGACCACCGGCATTGGGCCGAAAAAGGTAGACATGGCAACAAATAGACAAAGCCGCCAACAGAGCACACATCGCAACGCACAGCAACACCGTGCCAAAGTAATCGCACTAACTCAAAATAGTTAAGTCGGTCAGCAGTATTGTGCATCAGTCGCGGCTAAACAACCACCTCTTACCAAATTTTTTACTTGAACAGAGAGTATCCTTTGACTTTTAAAAACTTTAACAACTCTCGCATAATTTTTTGCTTCACTTGCCGGCATACGTTTGTCCAGGGCTTCTAAACTACATTTTTTACATATTCCGTCAGAGGAATATAATATATTTCTCTATGCCGTCAGAAGAACGTCATGAAAGACTCAAAAAATTGTGCAATATATATGGACCGGGTTGTATACTTTTTAAGTAGCGTAGATAAACGTGCTGAGGCGATGCTGTATGGATGGACATCTCATGACCTTGAAAAAATCTCATAATTAAAACTTTTTAAAACCAAAGATACTCTCACTTCAAGCAGGAACTTTGGATAAGACGCAGGTTGCTACCAAATGAGTACAAGAGGGAATATTTTTGTGCACCTTTTCCCATAATATTTTTGAATTTATATGGGCATTTAAAGCAATGCGAAAAAAATTCATACCACATTAATAGTCATTTTTACAGAATCTAGTTTTTGCAGACAGCCGGAAAGAGGCTCGTTCAAAAGCCGGCATCCTAATATGATTAAAATATTTTGGGATTGTGCTGCGCGATAATCAACGTTACAGCTCTACTTAATAATCATTCCGAATCGAAAGCATATTTCAGAATTCCGGCTAACATCTAACAAGATAGCACATCTACTTAATGCAGACAACAGTACTACCAAGGATCAAACGACCCATCCCATGTCGTAAAAAACTCGTGTATCTCCAGGTCGCAGGGAGTTGGTTTCAACAAGGTCAGGTAGAGGAAAGTGAGTGAACAGCTAAAGAAAAGAAGAGATAGTCGGGCTCATTGTCAGTGCGGCTTGTTTGCGTCTTGTCAGCGCAACGTGATGCAGGGGACAGCTTGGGCCTGCCTAGCCGTCGGTTGGAGTAAAAGTCGTCTTGCGAACACGACGTTTGATTGGCTAACCGCATGACCACCTCCTCTACCGTCGGAAGGATTCGTTGCCGCAGAAATCTGAAGGGTCCAGCCGCCATCCCGTAGATGCCTCGTACACGCTCCGCTTACCAACTGTGACGAGAACCTCCCCCCTGGCCTAGAAGGCGCCAATTCTGAAGAGCTGCGTGGATCACTTTAGAAGTGTCCTTAGCCACCTCTCTGCAATCTCCGATGCCGCCATCGATGGCCCAAGTAGAGACGGCTCATACACCAATTCTTTAACACGAAAGCTTCAGGATCCGACAGAATCCCGGCCGAAACTTACAAGTACGACGACCTTCAGCTGGCGAACAAACTTTCAGTGATATTCCAGGAGGTGTGACGAAAAAGGTAGACATGGCAACAAATAAACAAGGCCGTTAACAGAACACACACTGCAACGCACAGCACAGCAACGCCATGTCGAGGTAATTACACCAACTCAAAATAATTAGGTAGGTCAACAGTATTGTCTATCAGGCGCGGCTGCATAACCACAACTTACCGAAATATTTGTCGAGACCTACGAAAGATTACTCAAGAAGTTACAGAAAAGAGTAAAAGGTGGACTCGGTATTTCACCCGTATGTAGGACAGTATGTATGAAGCCAAGCATTTCGGTGCGAATAGACAGATTTGCGACCATATTCCGTGTTGTAAGACTACTTGAGAAAATATTTTTCTAAAATCTGCATCCATACCTTTCACTCATTTTGACACAAACTACATACCCAACAAAAATCCAACTCGTAACCGGAAGTAAATGCTGTTTGGCTAGACACGGTAAGTGGCATATTATCATGAAAAATCAACCGAAGTTTTGAAATTGGATGTTAGTAATGTAAAGTAGGTGCGCTAACTCATGAAATGTCAACCGAAATTCGGAAATGCGTTCGCGTTTCGAAAAGATTAATTAAGTAGGGTTGTAAAACTAATCATCGTGCAGCATAATTATATGATACTTCAGTTACCTCAGGATGCCGGCTTTCGAAGGACCTTATTTCCGACTGCATGCGGAAACTACACGCCGCAAAAATTACTACTTAAGTAGCACGAATTTTTCTCATTGATTTTCGATGACCTTAAAAATTCAATTATATTTCACCGAAAGCGTGCATAAAATATTCAGTCTTGCACTCATTCGGTAGGAAATTGCGTTTCCTTCCAGTTTTGAACCCAAAGGAAGGGTATAATACGGTTTTACCAAAATTTTCTAATTCCCGAATAATTTTAAATCCGACTTCCGTCCAGGGTTTCCAAACTACAACCAAAATATTTTGCGCGTACAGAAAACCGTACATTTCTCTCAGGCATTAACAGGAGACCATATGAGGTTCACGAAATTTAGCAGTTGCTTTGAGCGATATTCTTAACTTTACGAGCCACATTGACAAATGCAGAGGCATGACGTTTTATGAAAGACCATTTCAAGGTACTAAAAAATCTCACGAATGGAAACTTTTTAAAAGCGAAGTATACCCTTCCTTCGAGTACAAAATTGGAAGAAAACGTAATTTCCTACCGAATGTGTAGAAGAATGAATATTTTATGCATGATTTCCATGAAATATAACTGAATTTTTAAGGCAATCGAAAATCAATGAGAAAAATGTACGCTACTTAAGTAGTCATTTTTAACGGATTATAGTTTTTGCATGAGGTCGGAAATAAGTTCGTTCGAAGGCCGACATCCTGAGGTAACTGAATTATTATAGAATTATGTTGCTGGCCGACTAGTTTTACAACCCTACTTAATTAATATTTTCGAAACGAAAACGTATTTCGGTTGACACTTCATAAGTTAGCCCACCTACCGTACGTTTGGGTAGCGTGCAGCACATTCCAAGATATCGCAACCACAGCAGGCCGCCGGCTTTTGAATGCATATCATCCAGCTCGTCTGAAAAAATAACACTCGCTACATAATAACCACTTGCATAGCAAGATTCTTCTATTATAAGTCCAAACATATTTTATAGAAAGTACTCAGAAAAAGTATGCCTCTCTGTACTCATTTTGTAAGAAAGTACGCCTACTCTGAATTTTATATTAGAAGAAATGTTCTTCTGCCTGCTAAATTTATAGCTATGGGACTTCTATGACAGATATTTAATATCTGTTCTGACTGTTTATTAGGCTTCTTCGTGAAGTATGCCACGTGACCCATATTCATTGCAACGCCTCCTTCTCAGTGTGACATCTATGGCTCTCCCACTCTGTGGGATCCGAGCCCGGTATGACGGCAACCCAAGGAGTTGGCCGTACCAGCAGCCACTCTTGGCCAGAATTTAAACAAACAACGATAACAACAAGTGTCTGTGTGGGCCAGGGGTTGTGAAGGCACGCCTGGGAGCGGTTCTGGTCGCGCCAGGCACCTGCTCCCTCCCGCCTTTGGCGTCCTTGATTATGTCTTGACACCAAATCCGCCGGGGGGGGGGGGAGGAGTGTGGTAGATTCTGTGTATGTCTACTACCACTATAAACTAATTTACACGCACGTCAATGTGCCTGCTCTCACCCCACTGTGGAGCACACGGTGGATATCGTCCGTCACGACAGACGGACGGACGGTCATGTGGCAAATTCTTAAAATCATAAAAGAATTTACGATTTTCCTAAACTACAGATTGTACAGCTTGTAGTTTGGAAACCTTAAACACAACGGTATGTGGGGTTGAGAAATATCCGGAATTGACACACCCTTTTTAGGCTGGAATATACCCTTTCTTCAAGTAAAAAGCGTTGAGGGCGTAATCTTCCGCAAAATGAAAACAAGAAACGATATTTCTGCACGATTTGCACGAAACATTTTTGTAGATCTATAAGCAGATCGGAAGTCACCGAAAAGATTCCTAACTACGAAAGCAGTCATCTTTAGCGGGTGGCTTTCTCAAGCGGTCGAAGAGACTTGCATTTAAAATCTGGCATCATGTTGCGACTAAAATAATTCAGAAGAATGTTGTACGGCAGTCAATCTTAGGCCTCATATAAGTAATCATTTTTAACTGGCATCACATTTCAGGATGTCGGCTAGCGTTTCCTGAAATAAGCAACCCATCGTATTTTCGAGTAAATTTTTGCACGCGCAACACCAGCGTTGGAGATTTCTGATTCAGATCATTTTCTGAGAGGATCTAAGGTAACATCGCTAACAGTGACATTAATCTCTCCATAATACCGGTCGTTTGTCATCATGCCACCGGCTGCGAGAGCCGTAGGGCTGGTTACAAGGCAAAACGGGACGTCTGAACTCCGATCTGCAATTAGGACAGATAACCGACGTCACTTACATGGTGTTTCTTAATTAGGGGGAGGTAGAATCAGTGGCCACTTTTGGTGTCATTTGCAAGACTAAATCAATCTTTGCCTGATCATCGTGCCTTCAAAACACAAAAGGCAAGATGACACACGTGATCGTTTACTACCAATATGACCATTTTTGTGGAAAATGTCCGCTTGTCATCACGAAACTCTGATGAAAACGTGATACAAAATTGAGTCTTCCTTTCAAGTCACGTGCTCCTGTTTACACCGTCTGTAAAAAGTTTGAGGTGAACTCCCAAACCGATGCACTTCGGCTTCGACGAAGGCTTGGATTACGCCGATCGTAAACTGGAACCTCAGCAGTCCCAGTAAATAGACTTTGAAAGGCCACATTTTCTAGATCGCGCGGTAGGCAGGGCAGAAGAGACTCTATCAGCCAGGGTTCCCGACGCACCAAACGTTTGAAGGCCGAAAGGCCTATGCTGCCGTGTGCAAGAATTGTTGTTTTCATCTGCAGAAACCTTACTGTGTCTCGTACCGGCTCCTCCGGATCAATTTCAGCATTCGATGCCGCAATTTTAGAATCGTAAGTGCCCTTTAGGAGGGACCAGATTTCCGGATGGGTGCGAAGGCGTCCATCCTCGTCAAGGTCCATCGCGTAGAAAGCCAGTTCGGCACGATCATCGGTGTTGCCCCGGAGCAGTGTAGACAGCAGGTGGAGAAATTGGAGAGGTCCGACACCCTGTACATACGGCCCCTTAGGTTCTCTGCGTAATAGTTGTGCTGCTCTAGCAAGGCGACCAAGCGTGACAATGTGGGTAATTTGAAACTGTACGTAGAGGAATTCCTGGACTTCGGCTAAAGTCATCGAACGCAGCTGCCGTCTCGTTAACTCGAAGAAAATCTGCAATATTATTGTCATCTCTGTTGTGGTAAAGTGTAGCCTTCTGTCTCTTCTAACTTTACTAACAAGTGTCATGATGTTGAGTCTGAATGTGGCGTCGAACTCGAGGCGCGGAAATTTCCTGAGGGCTTCACTTGTGTCAGTCGCCTTCCAGACATTGTGGGCGAAATGTTTAGCCCGCATACTCCTTCGAGCTCGAAAGAACCCAGGCCCGATCGGCATAAAAACTGACGGAAGTTCGAATGACACCCGACTGTCGAGGCTCTTTACCGTGTGAACATTGGCCTTGTTCATTTTTGTTCGCGTCCCTGTTGGCCAGGCGTGGCCGGTGCTCGCTTTCAGCGGCGCCACGTCTTATGATTTAAATTATTGATCTGGGTTTGGTTCCTTGAGCTAAACCTATGGAGAATCCAAGAAAAGCAGTGGCCTGTTGAAATATACTGAGTACAAGTACGTGAAATGCCGCCTGATTGCTTTAACAGTCCGCGAGTTCACGACTGTTGGTTCATGCTGGGGTTATTTTAGCAAGATGAATGTGGTACCTACTATTTCACGCTGCGGAGGATGCGCAAGACAGGCAATAAATGCGTGTCGGAATTCGTGTTGGCCAGTAGACAGCGATCCAGGAAACAGTGAAACGAATAAACTTACTTGGTATTAGAGACAGACGAAGATGGACCTACCGCCGATACATTTGTCTGAGCTTCTGAACCCACGGAGAAGTCCAACGTCAATCAGAATAGCGTGTCAACTGAATACGTCGTTGGCTAGCGACGGAATCTCGTCATTCACCGCTGAGAGATGGCAACGCGCAATCATTGGGGAGCGAACTGAAATAAGGGCAATCTATCTTCTCACCGATCCACACCATTGCTTTTGTGTTCTCGGGGTCGAGTGCATGGTCTGTCCTGGAATATGGGCACCGAATTGGAACAACGGACTACCGCCTTTCACCACCAGTTTGGTCTTGCTTATGTTTGGGACCAGTCCCCCTGCGGTCTGGTACGCATGACATAGTAAGGGCGGTCGAAATGTGGAGACTGATAAGGGATACGAGTTAACGGGGCAGGCCATGGACAGTTCGATCGTCGCGAACGACGCCGTATGACTCACCTACAAGAGGCCGTCGTAACTTGCAAGTAAACTTGTTTGCAGCACAGTAAAATTTCCTTGCATCTGCTCCACATTCTTCTACCACATCGCCCACCGTCTTTCAACGGCGATACGGTGGAGATAACCAGAAGTGGGCGCATCAACTGTTAATCTACGCGCGCCACTTCACGGTCCTTCCTTTCACATACACCCGCGACTCGTACGAGGGAACGATACTGGATGAGCGACTGACAGTGACTGAGGCGTATAACACGTATACACGACAGCAGTCAACGCTCCACACGGACTCGGTACAGTTGGAAGACCGCATTCCATGAGCCAATGTGTCCCCGTGTGATCCAGTCACCTAAAAGTGGCCCGTTGGATCAGGGGTTATCTTGTGTTTATGTATCCATTTATAGTGGCGTGGTGCATGGTTGCAGGAACTGCGGTCAACTCTCGGCGTGTTTATTTACGCACAGAGCAGAAAAGACCCATGCGATGTCTGAGTGTCCTGGGACGGTGGTATGTTATGTGCATGAAGAGTCTAGGTGGGGCTGGAGGCACTGCGGGGTACATGGTATTCCGAAACGTAATAGGTTGAAGGGTGGCCAATCAGTCCCTAGTCCTGATCGCGCGTCAACCACCTTGATCGTTCGCTTGTCCCGCGCGTGTAGCATGGTTTCTGAACACAAAACGGGTAGAATACAGTGCAGTGAGTGTCCTGGCGATGTCCGTCTGGCGGCGGGCAAAAGGGCGACCGATCAGAGCAAATCAAGATTACGCAACGACGGTACAATGAGGATAAGTGGGGAGGGGTGTACACAACAGTGGTGTGGTATTCGGAGATCTATGAGACGGATTAGCAGTGCTGACACTGAATAGATTCCACGGCGTCCAACAATGTCAATTTATGTCCCCAACAGTCCGTTCATAACGTAAGAATGGTCAGGGTTCGGAGCTCGCAACGTCGATCCGACCCACCTAAGCTCCACGGATCTCTCGTTTTGGTCTCGACTCCGCCCTCGGACAGACTCCCGAGATCACGGCCGTAGTCTTAACGGCAGTGAGAGCCGTCTGCCAATCCTATGCAGGTCTCATGATCAACTTCAAGGTGCTTTGAGAGCACTTTATGGAGTCGCACGGCCCAATTCGACCAGGCGGTTCAAACCTGAGCGAGCAGCCTCAAAACGGACAAAAAGAACCACACTATGCCTGGCTTATAGCCCACATTAAATTTCTGAGACAAGAGCCGGGAAGCGTCTAAACCCTCACATAAGTCATGGCCCACCGACCCTGATCCCGCAACTGCTGAAACGCTCTTCACGTACTCTCCCCGTCTCACGAGTACTAGAAGACTGGTCAGTGACAGTCGAACCTCACCTCCGCAGGAGCGGCCGATGCGCGCCACGGAAGCGATTCTGCAATGTCATTGAGCGAGGGTGCGAATTCCCTGTTCTCATGACCTAAGTCGGTGCTTCCATGAGTAAACGAAATTACTTCGCTAGAAGGCGTAGCAACTCAATAGCATCTGGAGAAGGTATAAGACGGCCAGGGTAGCGAGTCAGCATTGCCCGCCCAACATGTTGGGGTTTTGAACGGATGATGAAGCCGTCCACCGTCTTGTCGGTTTTGGCCAACCCCAAAGGTCTCGACGGCTGTTTGGCCGCACAGTTCACACCGTCGTTCCGATTATGGACTTAATTCCCACTATAGGCACCCGGATGAGGGCTCTGCCTGACGCCAAGAGCAACGTGAAAAGTCGGATTCTGACGACTACCAAAAAGAATAATACGGACACAAATCGCGGTGTCCAGCTACGAAAGAGGACCGATAACAAAAATTTCCCGACAGTGATGGAAAATTGTTGACATCTGCGGAGGGACCGGGATCAATGAGAGCAGGGGCCGGACTTCGGACGCGTCTGTGAAAGTGGCTGTGTGCGGCAGCCTTCACAATACTTCTACAGGGGCCTGCATGCACATATGCTGGGCCGCGAGTGCGAAGAACGGGGACCAGTGTGCGACCGCTACTGTTCGACAACCAGATTGAATGGAACACATCCGCACGTTGCGACACAGTGGAAGCGTCCCATGTCAACCTAAAGATGATAGTCGCGGCGACCCGTGAATGGACTTGTCGTATGCCATCTGAACTGACGCCGCTGCCCACCCGGAGATGGCGAGATGGAGAATAATTCTATGTGGCCTGTCGGTACACGGATGCGGTCCCCGGATCACCGGGCTCCCTAGATCTACTCCCGCAGATTGTCGCACCAGCACCGTGATCGGACGCAACCAGTGGTGAAAAGTATTTGGACCCCAGATCATGAAGATACACCGTCAAACTGCAAGCAGATCGCTAAACAACCCAGAGACAGTCAAACCTATATACACGGGATCATCGGAGGCCTTCCCAGATAGTGAGCGTGGGCATGCCTGCAGACTTAGCAGGGATGAAGGTCGCAGAACCCCTTACAACACCAAAGACCAATTTGGTGCTACCCACGCACTCCGAATAAAGGAACTGATGTAATTTTGCCCGGATTTCGTATTGGTGATCGTGGACGACCGTTCAGCAGATTAAGCCGGCGGAGCCGGCAATAACGGACCACGTCGCATGACTGCTCCTCATACTAGGACAAGTTGCAACTACCCGCTTTCTGAACTAGACAGCTAACAGGTGCGATATAATGTGAACAGCTGGATGGCACGCATTTTGCCGGTGTTACGAGGGAGCCCACTGCCAGGTTGAGGAAGTAATACACGTCAAAGTACCGGAATTTTATGTTGAAGGCAGTGTATGAAGTTAATGTAGTCAGTGGATAAAGCCTCTACGTACAGGAAAGCATAAAACCGATTCATTGGTAGAGTATCAAATGAACGGAAATACAACATGTTTCAGAACCGCTAACACCTCATGATGCGGGGTCGTCAACCCAGAAGTTTAAATGCGTTAGTATGGAGCGGGGCGCATGCGACCCGCACTCACAGCGCTGCCCCTCATGGGTCCACCACCACGGCCACCGCGCATTGTACTAGCCATATTTGACTGAAGGTTGCCAGGAGTTCCTCGACCCATGCCGCCGGTGCCGTTGCTACCAACAACCGGGATGCCGCCAACAACCGATCCACCCCTTCCCGGGCCCATGCCAGGTGGACAGCCACGACCCATACCGCCGACTGCATTGGGATTCATGTCATCAGGACGTGGTGCCTAAACGAAACATTTAAACCAATGTTATGCTTGGTGTTAATGGACAACCTAGACAAGTGGAGGAGGAATAAGGAAAAGGATGAAGAGCGCCTTAGTGCAAAACTTACATTGCACTGTTTGCAGTGGTCTCGCCAAGAGAAGCTAACGTTATTGCAAACCACGCACACCCAGTCGCCTGCTCGTCCACCGCTAGTAGCATTTCCGCCGGGTCGGTTGGGAGCACTGGCATTCCTGCCATCTCGGGCCCCAGCGAGCGGTCCGTAAACATTCATGTCGGGTTTTTCCATTCCATAGGGCGCGCCTCCAGTCAGTGCCGCCAGGCTTGCAGCCGCCGCGGCGCTGTTGTTCATCAAACTGGACATAGTGTTGCCGCTGGCAGCGGCGGCAACTGCTGCAGCCGCGAGTGCGGCCGCGTTATTCATCATGTTACCGCCTGCACCACTCCCTCCACCGCCCCCTGGCGTGATAATCACGGGTCGTTGGCTGTTCTTAGCTTGCTTCACGTCAATTTTTTTCCCCAAAAATTCGTGCTCTGAAGACAATTTAAAAAATACATAGTAAGAGTGGGGGTTACAACAAAATCATCTAGGACACACGGGGTGGTGGTATAATTCACAACGATGCGGTAGTTAAGCATGAACACGAACGCTTTGAAGTGGGAGTCATGGTCGAAAAAACGAAGTTATGTGCACCCTTGGGTAGAGTCCTATTTAAGTAGGAAGGAAATTTTGATGGCCTTTGGCAGCTAAGTTTGCCGCAAATCTCAAAACCTGATTGGCAAGTCAATCTGTATGAAACAAGATAACAGCTTGCAGATACCAAACATCAGTACTGGGGCTTCATTAAAAGTATCATCACGTACTCGACGTCCAGTCGTGAGTGATGCGCGACGACATAACACGTGGCTTCGTACCACACACTAACGGGTTGTGAGGGGTTAGGCGGCAGCGATGTTTATTCTTACAACCTCCTCAGAGGTAGCACCACAACCGTCAACTTTTAGTTACGTTGAGAAATGGAGGGACTATAACCAGCGGCGCCAGGTGCAAAATTAATAGAAGACAAAGTGCCGAAGTCAAACTTCACAAGAAGGAAAATGGCCAAGTTGTTTTCCCTCCAACGCCTATAATTTCACTAGTACGAATATGGAAGCATACACAGTTTTAGAATGCCTGCATTCAGTCAGGAAATGTAACGGTCGCCAACTGATACGCCAGCAGTTTTTCGGTGATTCACTGGTTAAAGCGCTCACCTGCAAACCATTTGATGGCTGCCTGGACGCAATTGGGATCTTCATATGTCACCAGTGCATCACCCTTTGGAACACCACGTTCTTTGAAGATCCAAATCATTGGCATCCCAGTTTTTGAGTTAATCTTGGAGAAATGACGGGATTCGTTATCACGATACCTTAATTTTCCCAATGACACCAAACTGAGCTTTCATAACGTCGTGGTCGATATTCTGAGGTAACTTCGATACGAAGATGGTGTCCTCTCGCAGGCCATCAGCTGCAAGCGTTGATGATATAAAAAGCGCACAGCTTACGATTGGTCACGCTAGGGAGAGCATTCGACCGTCCGCCTGAAAAGGTATAGATAATCCGCAATAAGATCGTATAAGCTTTTTGCAGCCATAGTTTACCATAAAATCACGCGAAAAACGGAAATCAGGCATTCAAAGCGAATGCACTCACTCACCGTTCCCAAATTTGTTCATGCCACCTCTTTGGCTGAAAAGACACTAAGTGGTGAAATCCCCAAAAAACATGCAAACGCGTCTAAAACCATCACGAAAAAAATGAAAAAATGTTCCATATGGATAGTCTGGGGATAGCTTCCAGTTGCTCTGTAATCAAATAAGTAAAACATTTTAAAAAGCGGAAAAACTCACAGATACGCACACAATAAAACGGCAAACTTCTTGATGGGCGTTGCGAAAACGGTTCAAAGGGATGCGGGTTAAACATATGCGCTCCCAAATGGAAAAAGCTGTTCTTTAGTCGAAAAATTGGAAAATGTGGAAAATTCGAAAACGGTGGAGCGCGTACGGTAAACGAGCCTTGGCGGTGGCGTCAAACTAAACTTACTTCATGCCAAAGCCTTTGCCTGAAAACCCCCCAAGGTTTCGGCCCATGCTTCCGGTGGGATCTTGCAAAAAGGCGGCTGGATTGAACCCTTTAAGCAAGCCAGGAAATTACAAAACGAAGTCTTACCAGCTAGTCCTTGATCTTGCGCAAAGGCGTCATAAAGGTTTCTTGTCGCTGTCTGGTTAAATGCATTTGGTAGCAGTTGTCCGAACTGCTGCATATCTACCAAAGCTATCGGCATAAGATGTCAGCGAACCTCCAATGGACTGCGGCATACCACCGACACCAGGACCAATAGAGCCATACTGGTTAAACTGTGAGTAGTCGCCATATGGAAATCCTGCGCCAATACCGGCGTTTATAGGCATTTGTGAAGCTCCTATTTGAGGGACTGGAACACCGGCTGCTGCCTGTGAGTATGCAACTTGGTTTTGGTCGATGCCAAATGAACCGACAGATTGTCCGCCAAACATGGCGGCAGGAACTGTGGTCTGGGCACCGCCCTGTTGTGCAAGAGCATAACCTTGTAGAAAAGGCGCATTCTGGTCTCCACTAGCAGTAGGGTACTGGAATTGCGGATAACCGGGTGCTTGTCCCGCCTGAGCCAAACCAGCATACTGGTATTCTAAAAAAAAGAATTAGGCTGGTTATTATAGAGGCTAAGGATGTCAGTCAGCTTTAAGAAGCTTGCTTTATAAAAATGCAAAATAAAGCTTTCAGCATTAACTGCTTTCGTTGTGCCATTTAGAAGATGCATTCTCCCGACACTGAAAGATTACTTTTATGTAAGTCAGGCAGGCATCCATGAAGAGCCGGGTCTCATGAACATTCTGATGAAAAATGCAGCGCTGACGAGGCAAGCTGGGTTCAGGGAAAAGACGCCATACAAGAAGACGTACAAGGGTTCTCTCGATTGTCGGATAGCTCCCGCAGCTTAGAACAATCCGTCGGAGGCGTTGTTCGAGACTGAGGTTGAGTGAGTGGCCGAACCGCGTCTGCAGACAGACACTAACTACAGAACAGAATCCTTTAGACAGTACGGTTTTGTTTACAGGCTAACCGTGGACGTGTTGATTGAACCCATCGAAACTAATTCTGACTACAAACCACCGCAGTCCTTGCGTGGCCAAAGCAATATCACGCTTCCAACCCCAATCGGCAAAACGGGGTCAGCCAGCGAACGCTTTTGACGTCGGGTATGTTTTGCGCAACCTGCCCCTCGACAGAAACGGTGCAGATGGAGTCAAGACTCTTTGTAAAAGCGACTTAAAAGCCCCAGGGAAAAATACTTAACGCATTATACTCTGACGTGAGGCAAACTGGGCAACGCTTCGTCATCTTAACAGTCTTCGACAGAAATAACCCTTGTGGCGCGAGTCACATTCTGTTTGACACAGTCTTGCAGGTGCACTGTTGGGGGGAATACGCCCTGCCACATGTGACCTATATTCCCCGCAGTCTACCTTCCCGAGATAGCGGGCCGGTGGTCAAGGCAGACAAGGCCATGATGTCTACAATGAAGGTAAAGCGGTCCTGTTAGTCGCCCAATACTCGGTTGCGCCATTACGAGTAGAAACATTACTGTTTTCCAAATGCCACAGCTGGCTTTCTAGAACGACTCATACTGGTATTCCGCGAAATCCTGGTTGGGTGTCAACCAACCGGTAAACCTCGACGCCGACACCTTGGCCATTATCCCAAACAGGTGGCCAGCGCGATTGATAGCATGGTGAGAATGTACATGTCCGTGTCCCCAATGACGACAACGGTGCTGGCGAATTCGTCTTAAGACGCAAATTAAAGAGGACGTAACTGCGAGAGGGCAAACTGACCTAGGAGTGCGGCCCTACATATTGACACCTGACTGGGTTGCAAGAGCTACTTGGTAAGTAATAACAGCAAACTAGCAGTCACTACAAAGGAAAGTCGACCACAGCAGCTGCGACTCAGCTGGAATTTTCTAAGGAAACGGGCGGACTAATCAGTCCGGTTCTGGACACTTATTAACATAAATCAACATAATTCCTACAACACTATTAAGTTTCCCCCTAAATGTGGTCAAACGAAATGCCAAACGGGTCAAGCACAACGGAGTCAGAGAAATCGGACAACTCACGATCGGCCATTTTGCTCCTAAGGTGGCGTGCTATTCAGTCAACTAAAACGATAAATTCGGTTCAGAACGCAGATTATCAAGTTACCAGGAGTGAGTCGCCGGATTCATTTAACAGCCGGAGATATCTGAATTGGAAAAATTCCCTTTGTAAGAAATCGCACTAGAATGATTTATGGCCTGGCATCAGTGTGTTTATGTTCTGGGCTGATGATAAGGCACACGTTGAAGAAGTCAAGTTTGCAAAGGAGCGTTTTCGACCATTCATTCTTGGGCCTGTACTCCTGTAACTTCCCGTACCTTCCCGTCTGGTTGACCTGGTCAGTATGGTTGGAACCTAGCGTCTTGGGAGAACATGCGACCTATTTATCAGTTTAGCCACTATTTAGTACAGGTGTGTTAGTACTTCCTAAGACACGCCTGTGATCATAATCCCCTATTCATATAGGCGATAATAAGGCAATGGGCAGTGCGGCGAAAATCTGTTAACAGAGGAGATTAGGTGAAAAAGTTGGGTGGATGCAAGAAAGCGACTATGACGAGCTCAAAATGGGTTACTGTGAAGGACGTTGGGGTAGGAACGACGACGGTTCGGTAACTTGACGGATTATCAGAAGCTTGTATACTGATAACTGGCACCATGGACAGAACACCAAAAGCAAAAGTAGGTAATTGCGTTCAGGCTCGGTGAGCCTGAATGAAGCAAGACTACACTCTTTGGGAAAACGTACAGCAAAAAGGCGGCCGAACTAGTCAGAGGACTGAAGTGGATACATTACGAAGGACGGTTTCTTAACCTGTCAGAGAAGTAGACTGCTCATTCCATTTGGCCGATTTTTTGAAGTGACAGAAACGACAAACCTCCGAGCCCCTCAATACAAAACGAAGACGAAGTATGCCAAACCCGAAGTACGGACCAACTTTATCTCCCGCACGGTGACTGGAGAATGGAACAAACTACTCACATCGGTCGTTCTGGCTGGATTCATCCAGATATTTAAAGGAAGACCTGACAATATTTTACGAGAGTTCTTTACTCGCACGAGAAATGCCGAATAGGGTTATTCCGTGGATGTCATACTTGTTGACCTCAAAAAGGTCTTGAACAGTGTCCCACAGAGGCTTCTTTTACGGAAGATTTCGGATGAAGGAATTCAAGGAAGAATTTTTAAAGGTATCGGGAGTTTTCTGTACTCCAGAGTAGAAAGAATCGTCGTTGGTAACTATCTCAGAATGGGTAAAGGTGTAAAATTGTGTTCCACAGGGTTCAGTTTTAGGCCCAGCACTCATCCTGCATTATGTAAGCGATTGCACCATCGAACTAGACTGAGAGGCCCTTATGTTAGCGGATAACATAAAAATGTGGATCGCAGGCAGCTGCGTTGATTATACATAAAAAAAATTTTATTTAATGCCAGTTTACAGGCATTGTCAAGGGGAGCGATTAAACATAAATCCGACCGGCAGTGAAAAAAAACTCCTGAGCTTAAGGGATAAAAATATAGTTGATGGTGGTTTTTGTGGTTTGGAGGGCTCAGGAGAAAAAACTGCCGGCGGTGGGAGAATATCGACCGTCAAGAAGGGGGGAGGTTGCACGGTATCGGAGATCATCGGACGTCAAATTCCTTTCATGAAGTTGGGGATAGTCAAAGTAGAGGCGTTGAGGAACAGCTGGTGAGACCGGCCATAGTGTTCAGAGACCACAAACGCCATCGCTACGGTACAGTCGATCAGTAGATTCAGCACCCAAAATTTGTGGGAGCTTTTCTGAATGCAAAAATCGAGTAATAGTTCTCTTAAATAAAGGATAATTTTGCAGAGTTTTCGCATGGGTAGTTTATTCCAAATAGCAATTGCATTTACAGAATAGAACCGACGATATTTAACAGTACGTGCCAGAGGCAGAAATAAGAAGACCTCACGGTGATTGTTACGTCGTGGGTGGATATGATGTCTTAAAGAGATGAGTGGGTTAAATGTGTGATTATATAAGAGTTTAAATAGCAAAAATAGTCCCTTTTGTAATCTACGGAACCATAAAGGATCGAGGCCTGTAAGCCGGCAACGTTCTTGGTAAGACAAATGTCGGTGTTCCGGGGTTAAAATTCTCTTGGTAAAAAAGTGTTGAAGGGATTGTATTTTCTTCCGCTCAGTAGCACGCATGAGGCTAAATGAAAACAAACAGTATTCCAGACCAGGTCTAACGTACATGTTGAAAAGGCGCATTCTAATGTCCCTAGTTTTAAAATTTCGGAGGATAAACCCGGTCGTTCTACGTGCTTTGGAGACTATCAAGGCACAGTGCTCCGAGAGATTGATACTCTTGGAGTATGATACGCCGAAATCCTTTATAACCCCTGGCACATTTATTGCGTGACCTTCAATACTTAGTTGAGGTTGGCGGTCGTCGCCAACCACCATGACTGAGCACTTATGCCAGGAAAGAGAAAGGCGCCATGTGCGGCACCACTGGGCGAAAGCCTGTAGATCGCTCTTTAGGCGCTCAAGCACGATGTCATGATCTGCCGGCCTATATCGATATGCAACTTGAAGATCATCGGCATACATGAAAGGCTTACCATTCTGAAATAAATCGGGTACATCATTAACGAAAAGGCAAAATAGAAGCGGGCCGAGTACACTACCATGAATGACTCCACTCCTCACACGTGCGGGGTTGGAGATGGTATTGGAAATCTTAACTCGTTGTGTGCGAGTGCCCAAATAAGAGGATATAAAATTCAAAAGTTTGCCACCTATTCCGAAAGAGGACAATTTCAAGAGGAGAAGAGCATGGTCAACACGGTCAAAAGCCTTAGTGAAATCGAAATATACTGTGTAAAGAGCAAAACCATGGTCCCTAGATTGGAGAACATAGTCAAAGAAAGAGAGTTGACAGGTGTCACAAGATCGAGCTTTGTGGAATCCATGCTGAGCAGCACTCAGTAAGTTATTCGCTGTTAAGTGACACATCATCTTATCCTTGATTAATGTCTCTAAGATCTTCGAAACTGCAGGGAGTGTGTTTATTGGCCGAAAGTCATCAAATGATGTAGATTTGCCGTGCTTAGGAATGGGCAAAATGTGTGATTCCTTCCACAAGGTAGGATAAATTTCACTTTCAAGAGCAAGATTAAATATCTTGCATAAGAGGGATGGGAAGATCGTGTTTGCATCGGCTTTTAAAATGCTTACTGCGACACCATCAGGGCCTGGACTATAAGATTGACGAAAACGCCGAATCGCAACAGTCACATCCCACAGAGTGAAATTTATAGTTTCTAGAACTGCCCCGGTCAATGACTGGATGGTCGGAAGCGGAGTGGTCGAGTCTTCAATAAACGTTTTGGACAGGAAATCATTAAAGCTATCCGCGGTTAATTGGGCATCAACTATAGGATTTCCGAGATCGTCTCGAAGGATGGGATACTGCGTCTTTCTCTGAGTTCGTATTTTTCTAGAGAAAAGTTTCAAGACATTTAACGAATGGTTTTCGGTAAAGTGGACCTTTTCGGCTAGCTGTTTTTCTTCAGACAATCTCTTAGCTCGATCAAAAATATCACAAATCAAGGGCAGAACAGAAACATCGTTCTGAAGATGGAAACGACGATAAAGCCTGCGCAATCTGCGACGAAAGGGTAAAGGTAGGAAAATCTCATCCCCAACATTAATAATTTTCTTACGGGGGACAAAACGAGAAATAAGCGGATCCAAAATTTCGTACAGATTTGCAGTGCAAACATTTACATCCGAACTATGGAAGAACTCAGTCCAGTCGTAGGAATTAAGGTGTGTTAATAATTCGGTTGAGCGAGTGGATCGCAAATGGCGGAAAAATTTATACTTTTGGGACGACATTTCGTCAGCCTCGAATTCCAACGTTGAAACAACTATGTCATGGTCTGAGCCCCCGAGTGGGCCTAGGGATGACACTGACGATGGCAAGCAGCCTCTACAGAAAATTAGGTCAAGTATACTTGAGCCTCGGGTGGGAAAATCAACAACCTGAGTCCACATCCCGACATCCACAGCCTCAAGAAAGTCATCGAACTTTCTGGGGCCTGAAGGCGGAGACCAGCGGACTTCAGGGAGATTAAAGTCACCCGCAACCAGTTGATACTTAAAGCTTAAGTCGGCCGCAGCATGAAATGCCTGTGAGAGTAAACGATCAAAATTGTCATTGGCGTTGGGAGGGCGATAGACGCAGCCAACGAGTAAGGAGAACTTATTTTTTAGTGCAACCTGGAGCCAGCAGCTGCCTTCTACTGCGGAAAAGTGCGGGAGGTCCAACGGCAAACATGTAAGTGTTTGCTTAACGTAGACGCAGCTGCCCCCACCACGGCTATCTTGGCGATCATTTTGGATGCAACTGTAGCCTAGAAGAGAGAGTTCGGAGTCAGCTACTGAGGCTGATGCCCACGTCTCAGTTACTAAAACAATATCAGGAAAATGGACGAACACCTGAGTCTGAAGCAAAGGCATCTTATTAAGCAAGGATCTGGCATTTAAAACAAAAAGTTTGAAGGGAAAGGCTGTTAGTTTTTGAGTGAGGTGGGCTACGTCGTCCAGTTCTGGGCTGCCCACGGAGCAAACGGTCCGGATGCAACCATCCGGTTCTGCAAAAAATTTTGTGGCATCAAAAAAGGGGTAGGACTTGGGGGAGGGAATGACGGGCATGTAAACTGGTAACTATTGTTAGCTAACTTATTTTCAGCTGGAAATCCGCGGGGCAGATACTGCAACGTATTCCCGCCGGGACGAAACTGAGGATCGGATGAATTAACTGATTCAGTATGGACATTATCATGAGGAATAAATTGGTAAAACGGCCATGGAGGAAACAAGTTAGGGGGTGGGAAACGCAATGTTTCCATTGGAACAAGAGGTCTATTAAACGGTGGGAAAATCGGCATATTCGGCCTGACTGCCTTGATATGAGGGATGGGGGGCAGTTGCGAACCCGCTACGTTTTGAGTCGGGGTATTTGAGGCACTGTTAGCCGATCGTGGAGGA